AAAAAAAAAAAAAAAAAAAAAAAAAAAAAACAGGAAGAATGAAATTTGCAGAAGAAACTAGACAGTTATTTAATTCAGTATTCTTTTAGGATTTATAAGACATTCTAATGAATCAAGCGTGGAAATGTCAGACTTAAAAAAAATCATGACCACCTCAAACTGCCAAAGCTCATCTGCAGAAACAGCTGTCGCAGAACTTGCATATGTGTACGTTTAAAAAAATAACCATTGCAGCAATTTGTTCACTGAAATCAAAATCAGTGAAACAGTTCTGAATTTTTTTTGTTTCTTCCTTTTTCATTATTAACATTATAAAAACAGTTAATTCTTTTAATGTCATTTATTCCAGACAAGTTCTAAAACTACCAGTTGCTGAGGTGAATATTAGAGAAGGAAGCCGAAATGGTCGAATTACCCGTTCAGAAACAACAATTCGCACTTATAGTGCACTACAAAAAGCTACGAAGGTCTAAAAAAAAACAAATGTGTAACTTCACTTTTTTTAATCCAATTAAATCTTGAAACATAAATAAGGCAGGCTAATTTTTGCTTTTTTATGACAACCTGTACTCTGTGTTGTAAAAAATCAGTTTTTCGCGTATTTGCAAAGAAACTTTTCAATATTTAATTAAATTTAGGTTTATAATTAACTTTGTTGCATTTTTTTTTCAAATATTATTAAGAAGGAAACATTTTATGTTGATTTAGTTTATGATAAGCAAATTTTAATGTAAAATTGAGTCAACATTTCAGATTGCCAAGTACCAAGCTGCAGTTATATTAGTAACATATTTAACCTTATGGACTCCTTATAATCTTATGGCACTTATCAGTATTCTTGCACCGCTAAAATCCTCATTTAATGAATTGATTTATAGTACGCTTCCATTCTTAAATGCACTTATTGTTGTAAATACTGTCATCAACCCAATTATATACGGGTATTTTGAAAAGAAAAGTATATATACGAAATAAATATGCCTGAAAATGTTTTTGCAGAATAAAGGTATTTTACAAATTTGCATATTGCTCAGAACACTATTTAAATTCTTAACACAAACAAGTGAGTTACAGTCTAAAACTTATAGCATTATTTTAAGCTGCAGTAACCAGTACTGGATTTATAAACCAAATTTTTTTGTTTTTTTTTTTTTTTCTCTTTAAGACAAGTTTACAAATTTAGAGTTCTTTAATTAACCGAATAATATTTTGTGTTGTGGAATCGGCAAACTTGTATTATGGGAAACAAAGCTGTCATCTGCATGTTTCAATTACACTTCACTTCCCTATTACAGTACCATGTCAATTAAAAAAAAAAAATTATGAAACGAAAGATGATTCAAATCAACCGAGACGTTTATATGATTCTTCAGGCTCTATTTTCTTTAAGCAATAAATTAGTTTATTCAACTGAACCAAGAGTGTAAAATAACTTGTAAGAACAGTATGATCTTTGTTCTTTCCTAGTTTTATCACTTACTAAAATAGCAGGTCGATTTCCTCTACCAACCTTCTCGAATCACCAGCGCTTTCTTGCGCAAACGGGATTTTCTTCAACTCTTTAACTTCTGGTACAATATTCGTCTTCTTATTTCTCTATTCCCGTATCTTCTTTTGAGAGCCTTGTTTGCCTCTTCATACATGTCCTCTCTTTTTGGAGCATACGAAGCCACCACTTTTGCTCTACCTTCTAAACACATGACTGCATAGTCACTAACGTTCGAATTTGCAGGTTCTCGCGTATGATAGGTTCGAAGCAGGCTTGAAGGGTACTACACTTTACGGGGCTTCCGCAAGCGGAAGTTCTGCGCTTGACAGTATTATTTTATTTTTTATTTTTTTTTTTTGAGGCGATTGGAGTTGTATTCTTAGAAGGTCACTGTTCATCTTCAGTGCTTATCTTTAAATTATCTTTGAAATATATTTTAA